CAGAGGAAAAGGTTCAGTAGGACTGAAACCTTGCAATTTCCTCCCTACCATTTACTACTGGGATTATAGCATAAATAAGTTTGAAATACCAAGGTATTAAAGAAGAGAAACACAAATATATACTGAGACAGACAAGAAAATTGGGGAGGTCTCATTCTCCACTGCTGTGTACTTAACAAAGACTTTACATTTTCAGTATTGTAAACTGAAAATACTCAAAACCATGGACCAGATGCCACAAAAAAGAAAAAATTAGCCATCACAACATCCTAAAAATACAATTGCTTACATTTTTCACCTGCCTCCTGATTCTTCTCTGTCCCAGGAAGGCTGAATTCAAGTGTGTTCATATGAAGCTTACAATTCAACTTAGCTGCAAACACACATGCAGTCAGGTTTCCCTACTTACTGTTCAAAAGGGATAGGTGTAAGCACCTTCCCGCTCGCTTTCCAGCTTCTGAAGGTTGCTTTCGGCTTGTTCACACATTCTCTTGCTCCTTGCATTTTCTTCCCTTTCCCATCAATCTCATGCCTGCGATGCTCCCCTGTACTCACAGTTCCTCTGTCTCATATTTCTTTGCACCACTCACAACCTGACTCCTATCCATACAGTCCTCTTTCTGTTGACCTCCATCTCACTCTCCACACTCTTCTGACCTCCCCTATGGTTTTGTCCTATGTGTTAACATAGTCTACCTTCTCCTGACCGTCCGCTCTCTCCTGACATTCTTCATTCACATTTTACTCTTCCTGCCCATCCTACAGAAGCAGATAAGAAGAAGAAGGTTATAATTTTCATTGAGGGCAACCTTGTTTCCCCTTGTATGAAAACTGTGTCAGTCTCAGTGGGAAAAGTTCCATTCTCTTTTATTTGTAAAGAGAAAAGACATATTTACTGCTTTGCTGAAAGTAGCAGCAATCCCATTCCTAATAATGGGGAAGTGGAAGATATTTTAGAAAATGGGGTAAAGTGAAGGAAGACATCAAAAATCCATAGATGCTTAGGAAAAATGAGTATTGCGGTATTTCCTCAAAAATAGCAAGATATGGTCCTGAAGAATCCTATGAAAGCAGCTATAGAGTATTAAAATCCTGGAATTCTCCACTGGTAATTGTGGCTTACATCATTTCACTGATGTAGAAATGAATATATAACTGAGCAATACAGTGAAAATTAGCATCATGTATTCTTCATTGCCTAATTCCTTTCCCTTCTATAAAAACTCACACAAGCACATCATGTAAGGACAGGGATTCTAAGTTAAGGCAATAAAAAGTTACCGCTTTCTTTCAATGTCATTAAAAAAAAGGAAAATGGATTGTCCTGAATCTTTATGAAACAATCCTTCCACTGATCCATGTCTGTTCAAGACATAATTTATGGCACTCTTTAAAACATTTCCTCTGTGGTCATTACTAAAAGGTTTGAAAAAACATAGTCAACCTCAAATCATACTTTTTTCCTGAACATATTTATATATCTATTTTGTTATTCCAATAATTAGGGGACATATTGTTTTTTGGTATGTTGACTGCAGATCTGAGGGAGTGTAGACTGGTCAGTATTTCTCACTTGCTCCCTTACATGTTTTGTGCATTCTGTCGAAGGGGAAGTGGGGGTGAGGGTAGGGGGGTTACATAGCCTATGGAAAAGGATAGCACCAGAAATTACTTTCAAATTCATACTAGTACTTGGAGTAGATATGTAGGATGATAATATCCTTCAATTAGGATACTGAAGGACAAAAACCTTGTTGGGATCAAAATTAGCTTCCTACACACTGCTGGGCTAAGTAATGCTCCTGCACACAAAGTTCAAGAAAATAAGATTTATGAACACACATGAAGGTTAAGGGATAGGATGCTCTTCCCACAGGAATACCAACAAACAAACCACAGTATCTCTGTGGCTACTGTCTTGTACTTACTCCTTCCCTCCAGAAAGAAGAAACCAGTGAGCACAGATGAGGAAAGAGGCAGACAGTAATCAAGCCCAGATCTATGGAGGGCTCTCTAGAGTCACCACTCTGCACCTCCCTCAAAAATCAATGTAAAGCAGAGGTGAAATGTAGCCTGATTAATCAATTCCATTGATGGTTATCCAGGCACATTCTTTTTTAGAATTTCTAAGCAATTGTAAGATTTATCTAGTTTCATGTGCAACTTATAACACCCAGATCCATAGGGAAGCCTGTTTTTTAATTAAGAACAAAGATCAGGCAAGAGAATTTAAATGTTCAGCAGCATCTCAGTCTTCAAACCTCCAGCTATTTCCTCTCTTTATTACTGCAACTTTTGGTTTTCCAGGCTCTCACTCTCCCAACAGTCTCCATTCAAGCCTCTCCCAAATACTGGTGACACTGCTTTGGCTCTTGTTAAATCATGACTTTCACACTAACCTCCAGTTCTCCAACAACTCCAGGGTGTCAGAAGTTTTCTATTAATACAATGTTGTCAATGCCCAAACATTTTAAATATTGTAAGTCTGATAAACGTTTTCCAAATCCAAGGTGGGAGTGAAACCCTCCATGAGCAAGCCTGCATCTCCAGGGACTCCTCCTGAATCTTCCCAGAGCCAGGGCCCCTGGGAAACCCAAACTCTGGGACATACCTGACATCCAACAGTTAGTATCTCTGAGCTGGGACCGTGAACTTCCAATTCATAAGACATTTAAAAATTGAAAAAAGATCCGTTTAGGTATGGCACACCCTTCCCACCTGTGTGTCCTTCCCTTGCTTGTGAGAGCACAAGTGTTGATATTGATTTATTGGGTCACAACTGGGAGCTATACAGTTGAAGTTATAAGCTGCAGCTTCTTAAACGGTATCTCAGCCTGCATGTCTCCATTAGGCAAAAAAAGGGGTTATTGGTCTTGATTTGAACACAGGCTTATTCTTCCAGCTTGTTATTATTCCACTGTACAGCATTTCTTGTGTCTGCTTTGGTCAGGAAGCTTTACTCAGATTCTGATATACATTTCAGGGAAAGAACATCTTCTCCAGAGAGAAGAGAATATTAGAATTTTTTTTTCTGCTTTGACAAACCAAACCTTTTCAATTCGCAGTTATCTGATGTGCAGCTTGTTTCCTCTCTTTTCAGCTGCAGTCAAATAGGTATTTCTTCTCCAGGGTCTGAAACCCACTTCCAGGAATTCACAATGCTATATGATATTCTGTTAAAACAGATCTGAATCACAACACTTTGGATCTCGGGGCACTTCCTTTCTCAGGTTCTTTCTCCCTGTGTCCTCTCCTCTCCTCTCCTTGTTACATCAAGCAGCAGCTATTATCTCCCATTTGCCCCAGCAGCTGTTAGGGTTTGGATGCATTTGCCCCCATTTTTGCACCCCTTGTCTCATCCCAGCTGCAATTTGGATGAATAAAACTGCATTGGTATGCAGTGTAATAAGTTCTTGTGGTGTCTGGATATTGCAAATAGCTTATTTTTTGTCTGCATTCCTG